GGAGCTGTTACAGTCTCCCTATTTTTTCTGCCCCGTCACCCCCACGCTATTAACCCCACCGCCACTACCCTTGGGCATTTTGTACTCTCCCCAGTTTCGCTCGCATCAAGAGACCAAGATGGCGGCCCATCGAACTCAATGATCGACATCTACGATCTCACGGAAAAATAGAGGACTGTGAACAGTCTAGACATAATTTCGTCCACCAAATTTTTGATAATGTGAATATTCTGCTTAGAAGCAACAGGGGTCACGTGACCTAACTCCCTCCAAATAAAAGTTTACTGACTCAATGAACTAATAACTAATTTTATACATGTTGCGGAGTTTTTTTTAGGGGGGGTTGTATTTTAGAATTTATACTCATCAGCAGGGTCGTAATATTTAGTATCAAAACCGTCTGAAACGATATCGCGCACGCATCCAGTCTATAAGGAAAAGCAAGCTGCATGGTAGCAGAAGGTGAAGGTAGACCTTGCTCCAGTCTTAGGAGTCGAAGGCGCCAGGCGGCGTCTTAGTGCGTTTAGACGCTCTGCTCCTGTCTTTGCTGTGTAGCATGAAGCAATTAAAAATAGTGCTACTCCCCTGGGGGGAATGTTATTACATCCGGAAGGTTATCTTTACCTACCATGGGAACGCATGGGCTCCTGTGCAGTCAGCATTTGTTTGATTATCCATTTATTGTTAAACCTCGTTCCCAGGGTCCTCTTCTTCACATCTCCTTGAGCGAGAGGGGACTAAAAGGAGAGGACCCTGGGAACTAGGCTGTGGTGTGTCTGGGTGGATGTGGAAGAAGGCACTGTGAGAGTTAAAGTGTCGTATCCAAGGAAACAATACAGAGCACATATTATCTCTCTCCATTTAGTAAAATGCTTACACCCGCGAGGAAAACTGCAAGAATATATTCCTCACTTGTAAGTTAACAAATGGGTTTTGACATATCAAGAAACTGTACAAATAAGAATATCAAGCTCTTTATTGCAAATTTACTACAAATTCTTATGGCTTGACAGCACAATTGTTAGAGATCATTAAAAAAATAGCGTAACAATTCCCCTCAGTTTCTCAAGAATACTGATTTTAAGGGGCCTACGAAGAAATCATTGATAATTACATAACAAAGAATGTATATTCACATTATTTGCTTCCTTATAACACTACCTTGAATTCAGCAAAGGTATTAATTTGTAAATTGCTTAAATTAATGCAGCTACACCTTATTTCGAAGATATTCGCTTTTGAATGCTAATGCCGCATTACACAAAATTGTCCCCTCTAATTACTGTTAAGAGTAACCACAAGGATTTTAGTCAACTTGACAAGTTAGTAGCTACTCTAGGAACAAAATATCAATACGATAAAAAAATAGAAATTAAGTTAAGTCATTTGATTCATTGAACTGCTAGCATAATGCCAGATTTTTGTCGTTCGTTTGTTAATGTGATCGTTGGTTTGCTTCATGAGGGTGTACAGAATTTGCCTTACACATTTCAGGTAAATTCGTAACTGTCAGTTGAGCATGAAAGTTTGCCTTTTTGTCTTTTGCTAGAATGAGGTGTGATTTGTCAGCTAAATCACGTGACCTAAGTGTCTCCCTTGATTACTTGTCATTTTAAATTTTCGTCATTTGCGAAATGTAAGTTAACCCTTTTAAATTCTTTTAAAATTTCCCTTGTTTTTTACGGTTTTCACGTTCAAAAGATACTCCCGTCTTAGCCATAAATCAACAAAATGCCCTTTGTATCTCAAAGTACACCATTTCAAAATTTCCACGCAAATAGTTACATCCTTCACCAATTCTTGTAACTAGACATTAGCCAAGTTAATTAGATAGATGATCTCAATAGTGGAAATGAACTAGACCACCGGTGATTGGCTGGTTTTTCTCCTACGCATTGGCACCTGTCAATCAAAACACAAATATCACTTTATGCTTGTCGATGAATCGATTTCACAGATAACTTAACTCCCAGGGGAGACTCTCATATGCTGGTCTCTGCTCGTCCGAAAAATTGAATAAAACTCCTAAACGAAACCAATTCGGGCGTGGCTTGAGCCTTATTTTACTCCAGCCGCTTTTCAGGAAATTAGCGCGCGCTAATGAACCGGACTCGAGAGATCCTAAAGATACTTTTACAGCTAAAAGTAGTGGTGTTTCGTCATGAACACCTAAGCGAGCCCAAGTTCCTTGATTTTATACCCCTAAGCGAGACCACGACCATCCCCGACCTTTTCAAATGAGAGGTCCACTCCCCCTGGGGGGGCTTAACTATACTGAACAGTAGTACTTGTACAGCACCATCACCCGATGCCATCTTGGAACGGTTTTTCTGTGTAACTGCGTTTGCATTACGCCTGCTCAACCTTAATCTGAGTCAACAAACATGTACAGCACTTGCTTCAACAGTTAATGCTAAACAACCTCTTGTTTTCTTTGAAATGCAAAAGTTTCAAGTGCAAGTACGCTGCATGTTTATACAAGGATTTATTTCGCGAAATGATTCGTACTTACACCCTACAAATCATTTAGGTGATATATTTGATGTATGGAATTTGGGGGCTAGCGAACCACAGGTACCGAAAATTCTGAAGGTTACTTAAACGACTTACCTTGCGTAGTAGATACAATTGAGCCTTTTTCTATCATGTCTTCAATCACTGTCATGGCTTCTTCATCAAGATCATAAGAAGACGCAACTTTGATCACGCGGTCCGGTGTTCCTAACGCTATTTTGATCAGCTCTGACATGCTAACCTCGTTGCTTATTCCAACTGCGATTATATTCGACGTGCAATTCTGCCAAGGAAAAGGAAAACAGGCCCTAAATTCGTTTTTTCCCCCATACCTCATCACATTATTTTAAGAGGCTATCTGTTTAGCAAAAGAAGCTGCGCAGCCGAGTGGTTTTCCCGACTGCATATGAAGTCTGGAGGTCCCATCCCCCACCAACTGGAGTTGCTCTTGGAAGTCACGAGTAAATAAATAAATAAATAATAACTAAATAAATAAACAAATAAATAAATAAATAAATAATTTGTCAACTGCCCAGCCTTCTACCAACTGGGGTTTCTTGTAATTTTCCCTTTTATTTGTAATATGGGTTCATTTCACACCAACACTCTGTCGAAGTTTTGCTAACAGCATTGGATAGAAGAATAATTTTTTTCAGTCATAATATTGAAATAGGCTCTTTCGTGTCTGACTATCGTTTTACATCGATGGGGAACAGGGATGGCTCAGTGGTAAGAGCGCTCGCCTTCCACCAATGTGGACTGGGTTCGATTCCGGCCCGGTGCCATATGTGGATTGAGTTTGTTGTTGGATCTCTCCTTGCTCCGAGGGTTTTTCTCTGGGTCCTCCGGTTTTCCTCGCTCCACAAAAAGCAGCAACTCCAAATTTCAATTCGACCAGGATAGAGGGCTCGCATGAAAACCAGCTAGGGAGGTGTGGCTTCCTCTCTAAATATTGTAATTTGTATTATTTATTTATTTTACTTAATTGTGAGGCATATGTTGGCCTGCTTACCTTCATTATAGGCGTTACAAAGCTGTACGGTATTGATTCGACATCAGTGTTCTCGGAGCTAAACACAATCATTACATTTTCCTCCTCAAGGCGGTCCTTGCATCCCTCGGGACAGAACAGCTTCCTTGAGGCGTACAACATGGCGAGATCAGTACGGTGTCCTCCATATTCAATCGATCGTTTTGATCGATCGCTACCGTGTTCCCCAGGGATATATTTCACCCCGTCGATGACCGATCCAACGTCCAGTCGATCCACATTCTGTAGGGTCATAACAAGGTCGGGTAGATCACTATAAACGATGATTCCAAAATGGACGTCTGTGAAATGCATATTGATCGAAACGACCAGTTGTGATATGAATTGTTTCAGGCGCTCGAATTCGGCAGGGGTTAAACCAAAGGAGCTGTCAATCAATATTCCTATGTCCAGGCCTTTTGTTTTGACTTCTGTTGTAGGTGCCGGTGGGGTCACACGGGAAGAGGGAGTAACAGCTTCTTGTTCTGTTGTAGGCAGTTCACCTTCAGTGGCTGGAACGTTAGAAGAGTTTTATTAGTCATTTTTATAGAATTTATAGTCGCTTCTTTTTTGCTTGCTGCTAAATAAGTACACATTGTGCTTTTAGTAGTTCAGTGGAAACTTATGTTCTTGAATAAGTAGACTTGGTGCAGCAAAATGCTAAAGTTTCCTCACTTTCTACCTCGCAGCAAAGTTTGTCCATTTCCGGCATTACAAATCAAGACTGTCCTCAGATTACTCTGAAACGTTTTTAACAGGTAATGCAATGGAAGCGAAATTACTAAAAACGGAGACTGAGAACAAAGCAGCTTGCAGTTTGAACAACCTGTTTTCTGTTAAGCTTGCCAGTGGAGAAGATTAGGAAACGGGAGATGTCTCAAAACATTGATTAAATCATCACTGCCAGCTTTGCTAAGAATCTTATGTGTTTATAACTCGCAAGGTAGTCATTAAATGATGAGAATCATTTGTATATTCAAATCGCTGCGCTAAGATTGGCAGCCCTCGTCTGTCTTCAATGTATAGTTACGGTGGCAGGAAGGTGCCAGGAGTATTGCTACCCTCGGGTGGAATGCTAGTTCATCCCAAGACTAATCAATCATTACGTTGTCGGGTTGCCTTAGCATGTGGGGTATAAAACGCCAATCAGCCAATCTTTTTCATTCTTAATATGAAGTTGTCTAATTAAATATTGGTTTGTAGTCTTACCTGGTGGAACAGCTGTTGTTTCTTTGCTTGGTTCCGCAGTGCTTTCCTCTGTGGCTACACGGAAAAAAAAAGACTAGCATAAACCTAACCGAGCATTCCATAACAGACAAGAAGAACACAAACAACAAAGCAAGAAATCTATTGACAGATAGTTTAAATTTAATAATCTTTTCTCCTCCTCTCCATGTTGTTTGTAGTCTTACCTGGTGGAACAGCTGTGGTTTCTTCACCTGGTGCTACAGTGCTCTCCTCTGTAGCTACACGGAACAAAAAAGAATAGCATAAACCTAACTGAACATTTCATAACCGACAACAAGAAAATTAAGACGAGAGCTAGAAATTCCGAAAACATGGTTTGAATTTAATAATCCTTTCTTCTCCTGCTCGATGTTATTTGTTGTCTTACCTGGTGGAACAGCTGTTGTTTCTTCACCTGGTCCTGCAGTGCTTTCCTCTTTACCTAAATGAAACAAATGACAATGGTAAACCTAATTGAACATTCCATAACAGACAATTTTAAAACCAGTAAGGAAAGTATAAATAACAGATAGTCTGAGCAGGCCATGTTCGTATTCTCGGTATCGGACTGGCACTAGCTTGCAACCGAGGCTACTGCGTGGAGTCTTTTCGAAAGCAAATGACATTTTTCTCTTTTTAATGATATTCCCCCGTGTGAGCCTCAATTGCAAGCTAGTTCCAGTCGAGTTCCGGGAATACGAATATGGTCTATTAAATTATCTTTTCTTCTCCTTTTCCATGCTATTTGGAGTCTTACCTGATGGAAGAGCTATTGTTTTTTCACCTGGTGCTGCAGTACTTTCCTCTGTGGCTACATGAAACAAAAAGGAGTAGCATAAACCTTTTTGACCCTTCAATAACCGGAAACAGGAAGAAATAACTAATAAAAGAAGAAATCCAATAACGGATAGTAACGGACAATTTGAATTGAGTAATCTGTTCCTCTCCTGCTCCATGTAATTTGGTGTCTTACCTGGTGGAACAGCTGTTGTTTCTTCACCTGGTGCTGCTGTGGTTTCTCCTGTAGCGACATTGCACAAAAGAAAAACAAAATACAGTCAAACCTGTATATAACGGCCCTATATATAGCGGTCACCCTGTGTATAACGGTCACTGAACAACTTCCCAAAAATCGTCCCTTGTATTTACTGTTAAGTTGACCTGCATATAGCGGTCACCTGTTTATAACGAACGCGGTCACCCTTTAGACTTCCTGAATCCACAATTTCATTATCTTTAACCTGTATATAACGGTCACGAAATTGGGTTATGATTAACGAATAATGACAAGCTTTATTCATAAGCTCGTTAAATAGCAGCCACCAAGGCAGAGGTGTCACAAAAATACAAATATTAGTACTGAACATAACTACTGATACATGTCATTGCCTACGTCCGACAAATGCATGCGGCAGATAACATTTAAGTGTCGTCGCTTTCAAACAATAGTTACTGTAACTGTAACAACACAACTGTACCACACTGTTTTCACTTTCGTTATAGTTCCCTGATTATAACACTGTACTGTAATTATCTGTCTCAAATTGTTGTCAATAAATGTAAGTTGAGTGATTTTCCACTTGAAAACTTTGTTCATTAGCTTTCAGTAGACTTTTACTGCACCTCCCTAAAAGTACACCACGGACATTTTATGAGCCTTTTTTATCGTGTTTATTTCGTTGCTGTTACTCGTTATTGTCAATAAAATGCAAACTGAGTGGTTATTTGCACATAAAAATGCTATTTAATAACTTCCAGGGGAGTTTAAAGCAAACCTGTTTACAGCGGTCACCCTGTATATGACGGTCACCTGGCCATCTCCCAAGGGTGACCGTTATATACAGGTTTGACTGTAATCATTACAGTTGCTTAGAAGTAGGCCACGATGCATGAACTCTCACCTGTTGGATGAGGAAGTTTTGGAATCGCTAAAACATAAAAAATATTTTAAAGTTAAGATCAGTCTACCAGTAAAGAAACGTCCTGTAGGCGGGAGGGTCACGCTTCCATGCCGAGCCAACCGAGTGAGAGAACGTTAACATACTATAGCAGCGAACTGTACATGTTTAAATGAGAAATCACAAGGTTCACTCGATGGAGGGCGTCCAAGATGGGGTGACCTCCTGGGGGAGAAAGAGCTTAGTTAGATTTCTTTCATGTTAGACACTTTGTAAATGTCTGACTCACCTAGCTCTCAGGGAGGGAGCCCCTCCTATTGGGAACAACTTCTTTCCATAATAACGTACACTTACTTAGGGAAAAGCATAAACCAGACAGATAAATACTTAACTTATTAAAAGACACTCACAAAAAGAAACAAAAACTGTTTAGAGTCATTTTCGGAAGCCATCTTCTAGAATAGAGAGCAATTTAAGAAGCCGTTTTTCGGTGAAACACGAAGAATAATATCTTCCAAACTGATTTCTTGTTCCAGCCCACATATTGAAATCTGAATAATGGTTTTTGCGGCAACTCAGAATGGTATTTTAAGACTACAATTAACTAAGTGTTTCATTTTAAAAATACTCAATGCAGTCTATCAAATGTAATTTTCCTTCAGCTGCCTCTCAGTGTTCAATTACTAAGTCTGTACATTAGCTTAGTTTATCAGTCAAAGTTATTGGAATACTTCAAGTCCATACCATATATTTCTACCCTCATGCAAAGTTTTTCCACGCTATCCATTGGATAAATACGAATAAACCGTCCGACAACAGGGTTTGGTAGGCGCTGTTTCGACACTGTCTCTGGATTGACGTTGCCCTCTAAACCCTAAAACAGTTATCAGTAAGAAAAAAGTTATCAGTAAGAATGATGATCATATTGTCCAATATGTTAAGTTTGTATTTTGTTATCGCTCAATGCTATCTGTTAGGCAGTGGGGTCGCCACGAAGCTCTTCGGAACGTCTCACAGGATTGGCTGAGAAAATGATATACAAACAATAGTAACAATGGACCCTAGCCCTAAAACAATAGAGCTTCGTGCTAACAAGATCAAATGGAATTTGAGGTTCTAGAGAGCTTCATGACAACAGAGCCAGTGAAGCGCAGAGCAGGTCCCTTTGGTTTCGTGTAACAGTCACACAACTCTATGCGAACGCGCTCTTATCAGTGCCAAGGAACCTGGAGAGGAAGGATTTGTATAAAGAGGGAACCATATGATTAAATGTCCGCTAAATTTTTCCACAAGTTCCAATTTTGATCTTCCACAAAGAACAACAGCTATGAATGCACATTAGATGGTGTCGACAGTTCAACAGGAACCAAAGCCATTTTATGGTTTGGCTTCATGTTTTCTAGAGCCTAGTCAGTGTTGCAGGCAGCTTGGCCGAGTACCTTCAATGCACAATAATCGATACTCGTGGTATACCAAGAGAAATTACACTTGTCACTTAAAGGCTGTGGTGTACTGAGAAAATATAATTGACCCGCGGGATATTTCACGGTATACCACTCAAAAACGTTGCATAACTAATATATATTTAATAAAAATGCGTAAAAGAGATACTCACAATTTTAGACCAGTCATCACCATTCTTGGAAATGAAAACGTCATAAGATGTCACCCAGGAATCCAAGTCAAACCATACTGTACCATACCACACTTTTTTATTCACTAACTCGCGCAATCCTTGTGTGGCAATCGCACAAATTTCCATTTCAGTGGGCAGCTGGATCTCTAAATAATCCAGGGATTCATTTTTCGCACACCATGCCTTCGGGCCATTAAGTCGACCGTTCGATGCGGCATAATTATCTCCAGCGTCAGATGAAGCCGAGAAGCTGGAATCCGGCAAAGGACCTCCAAACGAGGCACCAACAGGCTCACATGGCGGAGCTAGTAAACAATTCAAAAAAATCTAAATATTGGCCAGAGAACCTTTCAATCTTAAATTTATGATAACCCATGCCAACCTTGATCGTTCCCAGCAATGGGAGGGGTTGGGGTACTCACATATGAAAAGATCGGGATGCACGTCCAAAAATTGGAATTAAACCCCTAAAACATACCCATCCGGTTTGGTTCGAGCTTTATTTGACTCCTAAAGGATACCAATTCTTTTATTATTTTTTTTCGAGTGCCCCTTAAAAGATACAAGAAGTGCCTAATACCCAGGGCATTGTCCGGAGGAGATTTTGATAAAGAAGCTTGATGCATAAGAGTTAGACCCCAAGTTGAAATAGCAGCACTAGTGATCCAAGGTAACATGCAGACACTCGAAGATAGACTCAATGCCAAGCAAGAAAGGATACAGAGGATGCGAGAGTTACATTGTTGTATTAGCAATCTAACGCAAATTAGTTTTGGTTATACGAAAACCAATAAGAAAGCTAGAAATTCATTAACTATTATCATAGATGATTATCTCAGTCTTCTCCTGCTTCATGTTATCTGGAGTCTTACCTGATGCAGCAGTTATTTTTTCTTCAGTTGGTGCTGCAGTTATTTCCTCGGGACCTAAACGAAGCAAAAATGACTAACGTGAACCTCGTTGGACATTACAGAAAATATAACAGGATAATCAATGACAAATCAGAAAATCAATAACAAACAGCTCAAATTTGACAATATTACAGATACTGATTATCCATTCTCCCACTCTATGTTATCTGGAATCTTACCTGGTGGAACAGCTGTTGTTTCTTCACCTGGTG